AAGGATATTTACTACAACAAATGAAAAATACTGACGATAAATGTGAGGAAAAATACAGTTTATGAAGTAATACATTGGTGGGAATAGGGTTAATTGAAGGATGCTGGGTATGTCGCATCTCAATTTATCACACTGTTAAGTGGCGAGTGGAAAAAACCTACGTTATAAATATTCAAATATATGGGTGTTAAATTGAGGATTGTGGTAGAATGCAAATCCATATTAGATTTATTTATTTGATGTATAGCACACGGTGATACAGTATTATTGACTTGATGACGTTTCGAGCATAAATTATTGCTCATAATCATACCAAAGTAAACACACAACTATCAGCATCTGATTTTCATAGTCGTATCACCTCGTGTTCTTTGTTTTTAATGGCAGCAAAAATTTTCATCATTTCTGGTTTAGGTGTTGAGATGCGACAGGGTGGAATGAAGCCACTGCACGTAAGTCCAAAATAGTTAGGTAGAGAGGGACAGAGATTGATTACCGAATCTTCGTTAAGAGAATCAACACTCAAAACGTAATAGGAATTATGCGACACCTATTTGAGAGACGTAAATAAACGAAGAATATGAGGTGACATGACTATAAGAATCAGATGTCGAAAGATATGTGGTTATAAAGAAGAGATAATTCAGCGAAGAAAATTTTTTTTCGACGATATCATTTTCTAAAGCTGTACAATCGTATTTATAATATCATAAACATATAACAGTCCATTATAAAACAATAGGGTATAATTACATCACTAACCAAGTGCTATGTGTGGTTACCTTGACATGGTTGTGAGCAATAACTTTGTGCTCGAGATCTCATCAAGTAAATAATACTGTATCACATTATGGCGTAAATTAAATAAATAAATCTAGTACAGAATATCCAAGGCAGCCAGACGACCAAGTAATGATACTGATACTGATTGTCAGTCGTGCAATTTTCCAGGTTAAGGTTGTTTAGATGTTATGTGTTGAAAATTCGAGAAATATCACTTAAATATATAAAAAATACCACATATGCATTTGCACCTAATTTGAATCGTAAACGTCTGGTAATTTCATGTTTTCACTCTATTAACTTATATCCTTCCCCTTGTACACTACATTGTCAAATATCCCTATTTCTGTAACAGTGAAAAACGGTTTGAAACGAAGAACCTTCAAGAGATATACCACTTTTTTGTTTTTATGCACGGTAGCACGTTAATGGTGTGACAGATATACGTATGGATTTCACTGCTAGCCACTACAATCATTAGCTTCAAACTCAGATTACCGCCAACATCAAGGTATCCTCGACTGCTTTCTTTGAATACCTCTGGTACTACCACCTATGTTTCTATGGCTCTTCCTCGTTTCAGATTTCTTACAGACATCCCGACGTCCTCAATAGTTAGGGGATCCATCTTAGTGTTTTACGCAGGATCCGAATGGGTAGCTGTTACCTATCCTTGAGGCTTTTCTCATATTTTTACCCTTCGCTTACCACCACTGCCTAGACTTTTTGTCAGTCTGTGTTTGAGTTGCTTCAGCTTGTCTTTGTGCTTACAGCCTATAGGAATGCGTTCATATCCAATTATTAATTCAGAAGCTGCTGAGACTCATGGGTTATTCCTAATGAAGAAGCGATAGAACAAAAAGCAGCAGTAAGGATGCTAACGCAAACTTTAAGAGAGCAAAATTAAACTTAGTTTATACATATGTAGTCAATGGTTCCGTTGAAAATTGATTTTCAGTGGGTTCCCCCCCCCCCCCGAATGCATCCACCAATGTCAAAAGTGCGCAGAAAATTAGTAAGTTTCAAATACTTTGAAAGTGAATGTCTGGAGTCTTTTGCTGTAACTCAATTATGATGAACATCAGTGTGAAAGTTTAAAAATGTATAGCGTGGCAAACAAATCACCCCACATCCAAAAATGCTACATTGAAAAATTTCGTAACATAACATTAATTAGAAAACAGGTACGGTATTTTATGTAATAGGACGTTTCCATGATTACTAAGTAAAAAATAGCTTTAACAGATAATACTTTTAAAATATGTATAGGATAGGAAAAAATACATGCAACACGACATGAGTACCTGTCCGGTTAAGTTATCTCGCTTCACATCAGAACATCGAAGTAAAAGTTTCGAAAGACGAAAACTAAAACGATAAAAACGAGAGGGATAAGAGTATATTATTGTATATAATACATGTTAACATATAGATGAAAGGTGCAGAGACTTCATAAACTGGGATCGTTTGAATTATCATTGTTTACGATTTACTTACATGAGCAGTCACCACCAGTTTCATCAGGATTTCTTCAACGAATTAGCTCTAAATTTAAATATCCCTTTGATGAAAACTGTGCAAAAGAAATTCAAGCATACTGATACAATATGACACACAGGCACAGGTATAATTCTTTTGAAATCAGTGTTTCGAACGATACAGAAATGAATTTTAAACGGTTTGCAACAAAAAAATCCGAATTCCATATTAGATTGTTTATTTGGTATAGCACACAGTGACATATCAATATGAGCAATAAACTCTGCTTGAAACGTTATCCAGCAAGTCACGCTGTATCACTGTGTGCTATATCAAATAAACAATCCAATGTGGAATTATATACTACCACAGTGCACAATTCTTAATCTTATATTAACAAAAATCAAAGCCTGTTGTTTCAAATCAAGCGGGTATACACTACTACCAACCACTGAAGTGATCACAGACCATACAATAGTAGAAGATAATTACTGCTGGAAAGTATAGATTAATGATCTGTGAGGTTGTTCACCTATATCCACAGCTGAATATTTTTCTGTTTCACATCAAAGCAGAACGTCGCATGGTGCTGTATGGTCTCAATTTATTTAACACTGGACAGATTCAGATAAAACAGCAGTAAGAGGCTGTCACTTATCTTCCCTCTTATCAATGTGGACAATTCTAAACATGAACTCGTCTGAGGAAATGTGGAACTCTTGGGTACAGGATTGCCACGGAATTCCCAGAAACCTGATACTCGGGTTAGTCAGTGATCAATAGGCATAGTAACATCAACCCAATCTATCGACCATTAGAAAACACGAGAAACGAAATTAAATTTCAGATAAGCAAGACGGTTACTACTTACGCAGATACTAACAGAATAATAGCAGAAACAACCAATCACATCCAACGTCACTGAGACAAGCTAGTAAGTAACTTGTGGATTTATCGTAATTAACTTTTATGAAGTTTCTGATGACGATTTTATCTCAAGCGACAATAAGATCTTCATGATTGAACCCCACGAAACAAGAAATACAGCAAAAAGGATCCGAAAGTCACTAACAGAGAGCAAAGTACTATATGTATAACTGACCGATCCTGACTACATTAACCAAGAAATCTAGATGAAGGTTATTTTTTCGACAGTAAATATGCATGACAGCGGATTAAACAGCCGTCTGGGAAACAGAATGGAGAAACTTTCTAATGTGATGCAGAGCCAACCACTTCTTTCAGAACCTATAACACTAGTTAGTGAACATCCTACTATCAATTGTAATCTATTCAAATGCACCTTAGGCATCAACAATAAGTACTGCATTTTCATAGAAACTGGTCACAAACGGATGTACTTGATACCTAACAGAAAGACAAATTGTACATTATAATCTAAATACGTACGAGAATGAAGTACAACGCTAGGATGCTGCACTGCTACATTACAAACGTGAATAAGGCAAAAGTGACTTTGTGTCCAGACAATGACATGTACTTTTCAATCTCGTATCTGATTCTAACTCTGACAACTACAAAACGTACTTTGGAACGGGGTAGGTGAAGCTGGGAGATGCTTCCCCGTTAGTTTAAATAAGTATCACCGTTACTAGAATAAGATAAAGTTAAGGGAATGATAATGTCGTTAACAAGAGGAAACGGACAACAAATAGAGATAAGCATTTAACAGACGAGGAATGATGTGCAGCTAGAGGTATGTGGATGAGTGTAAATGACCCATTTGATAACCTCTGAGTCAGCACTAAGCTTTTGGAAAGCTTCTCGCATACCACGAAAAACCATACCATTGATAACGAGAGGGTGTAAGTTGACACATAAAACGAGAAATCAGTATTCCTGGAAGTGCTAGTGTTTTACCGACAGGTATCAGTTACATTCGTTTTCAAAAATCATTCTAGTATGGTGAATTTTACTACGATAATAACTATTTTCGTTTTGGTTATTTTCCATACCTTTTCGGCATGACCTACAACAAAAACTACCTAGTAAATACAGTTTGATTAGGCGATCAGAGTTGGAATCGAAATCCACTTATCAACCTTATGCACCTTCGTGTAGTAAAAAATGAGTGATATATACTGTAAGAACCACCTGGCTGCTTTGCGCGACGTATGTTGTTGTAGGTTGGAACCCTTCACTCATTAGTTGGAAGTCGAGAGCCTAGATGTATGAGACAGTTAGAGTGATCAGGGTATCTAATCATGAATACTGCACAAAAGCAAAGCAATCTGCATCAATTATTTGATGTTACTCATAGCCTGTGATTTTAAGGCTTCATCGACCAGATATTTGAGGTTTTCACCCAAAAATGTCCAATGAGAGCACCAAACGAACTACTGCAACGTAAACTCGTTCTTTGATCGACAACGATGTCTTGAGTGCGCCTCAAATGGAATAAAATTGCAAATTCATTTGAAAGAAATTTCGTTGTTTATCAACAGACATCTGCTAATATATATGTACCCAGAAATGAAAGGATGAGCCTAGTACCTATTACTTATACTTCTGAATGTTATGCGATAGTTTTTCAAACCAAAACGCAATCAAATCTTTTCCAGTTTACTCTTTAATAAGCGGATTATGGAATACCGAGGATATGATGCTGGTAATATTCCCTCTCAAAATCAATACTTGTACATAATACATTAGAAATATGAACATACAATTATTCTTAAAAATCTTAGCAAACATCATGTAAGTAAAACAGATAAAAATAAATTTTAAAATATTTTATTAAAATCAACTAATATACACATATTTTTGTAAACAATGTCAGGAAAGTACTAGTACGTCGACAGTGAATCTGTGATGAATGCATTTGAGATACCCACTCCTCATTTTATTCCATTTAAAATTCATTTATGTGGTTGGTAACTTCAATTCTGTGCACTTCACGATAAACGAACCACCATATACTCCATTTTACAAAGGTTAAAAATCACACGTCGTTATTACTGTGGGAATCGTCGCTACTTTCATATGATACGAGTTCAATTGAACTACCTTTTAAGAGGCTAACAGTATGATCATCAGATAACGAAGAGAAAATATTCACATTCCGTTTGGAATTCTTCTGTTCAGGAATTTTGCATTCCTTAGTTTCACATGAATTGTACTTTTCGGATTTTTTAATATCACATAGATTCTGAACTGCAGAATTAGATTTTGTCTTCGGGAACTTTTTCACTGCTGTATTAGTTGTCCGTTTGGTAATATTTGAGGAGGTTTTGGTTGAAGAGATGCATGGGTTCCTACTTTGAATGAAAGATATGGGATTCAAACGATTTGATTTGACATCTACAGGTTAAAATAAAATGGTATCATTTAATCATTTAGAATAACAGTAAACGAATTATTTACCAGTTTGTGTACCAAAACTGAAGTGAGTTTCAATTATTTCGTACCATAGGCATAACTGTTATAGCAAGACAAAATATAAACTAAGTAGCCTGATACTGATTGAAACAACAGCACTGATGGAATGATTTCAACAGTGTCAAGGTTAGTAAATTGTGTCTTATACGGCACTCACTAGTCACTATGAACTAAATCTGAAAATCGAGCTGGCTTAAAGGAAGTAAGTGTCAGAGTTACAATCCCATAACACAAATATTTTATGGTCACTGACTACGTAGGAAGGTGTGGTTTTGTAGCAAAACAGTAAATGATTTTATCATGGTTATGGTAAACAATTAACCAATTTTCCCCCAAGTTGACGGTTCTCTCAGAGGTGACTACCCTGCAAATTGTTATAAATTGAGTCTACCAAGGGTGCACATATATGTAGGAGAAGCTGGATGGACTTACAAAGCTCACTAAACATTTTATGTGTGGTGGTTACTAGTAATCACTGTTTCTCGAAGAGAAATACCACACCTTATAGAGCTAACTTTTAACAATTCAGTTGGAAATTCTCACCAACGTCATCCATCCGGATCCAGGTACCTACTTATGGCTATTGGCTTCTACACATCAAATGTTGAGCGCAGACGGATTTGTAACAGGTGCCGGATTGTGTTTTAAATCACTTTTCCGTACTCTCTCCCCCTTCCTGCATAATCACGTCTGTCGAAGAGACTTTATAGTTTATCGCTCAGTTTGGTACATGATTTTATCCACAGTTACAGATTCGCATATCCATAAATATTAAGCGTAACTCATGGTTCCTTCTTCAAAAACACGTGTTATAAAGCAGGTAATCACATCGCTTTTGAAAGGATAAACATGTCATGGTCTGAAAGCGATATCATGTCTGAACTGTGTTCCTAAAACATCTTGATCCCTAATTATGGCTGCATTAAGTAATTATTACTTAAAAATTGCTACAGAGTTAGTATTATCTCCTTCAGATGGTAGTGTAACAAATCTTGATATAAAGATCAGCTTTCAAAACATTATTTATATTTACCTACGTATATAATGAGCACCAAAAATAATATTACAGCTACGCCGTCCTACATCCCAAAAGAAAAAGAAAAATGGAATGTAGATTAAGGATGCGTGGGATAACTATAAATGAGACTCATTAGCCAGGAAACGTGAGCTAATTAATTGTTTTTCTAAGACTCCAATCAAACTTCATATCTCATTAAACGGTACTTCAATTATTACAATAATTAAGTGTGGTTGGCTATACTGATTCCAAGTGGTGAAATAAGTGATGAAATAAAATTGATTCTCTAATTATGAATACGTAAATCAGAAAACAGGATCTAAAATTGCAGTACTCTGGCCACCAGGATAAGAGTAACATTCAAAGAAAAAAGAAAAGTGGGATATCGAAAATGGATCGGCACAGGAACTCAGACTACGTCAGAGTCAACTTAAGCCATGTACACTGTTTATGTATGTGTATCTTGCTTTCGTTTCACATTCATTCAGGGGACGTAATGACTGGAGAACATAGTGATCAAATGTGGTTTGAGCGAAACTCAACAAACATAAATGATTATTAGTTCAAGCGCTTTTAAACTAACCTCGCCTGGTTAACTAGTTCACTAGTTACTACCGGTCCTAAGCCCAGGTAAAGATGGAAGGTTGGGCATAGGGCTAGCAACCCTACCCCGTAAAATCAATCCAACCGCTACAAAAACTTCAAAGCACAAACAAAACATGAAAACAAAATTATTCCTCACTGGAATCAGAGAGGCGAAATGACGCCGGTTGGTGAAAGCCTTCAGGAAGCCAATTGGCCGATGTATCGTCTATCCCTCGATGAAAGCGAAGGTAAACATGGGGACATGGAATGTCCGCACTATGTTTGAAGCTGGCTGGCTGGCTGGCAACGCTGCCCAGATTGCAAACGAGATGAGAAGGTACAGCATAGAAGTGCTAGGAATCTGTGAAAGCAGGTGGAATGGAAGTGAACTCTCCAAACTGTCAACTGGAGAGTCAATTATCTACTCCGATATTGTCACCCAGACAAAAACCATGAGCACACTGCATTTTTGAGTGGCTATCATGATGTCCTCAACAGCATCGAAGGCTCTCATACGGTGTGAACCAATCTCCTCAACCATCACGACCATGACAGCAAGCGTAAAATCAAAACGATGGAAAATCACAATCGTTCAATGCTACACTGCGAACCTGCAAATAATGCAGATGAAAAGAAGAAGGAGGAATTCAATAGACAACTACAATCAACACTGGACAAGACCTCAGTTGGCGACATCAAAATTCTAATAGAAGAAATGAATTCCAAACTGGGAGCGGAAAACGCAGGAAAAGAACAAACCATGCATCGAGAGTCCCTCGGTGAAATGAACGAGAATCGAGAATTGTTTGCAGAATTCTATGCATTCAACGATTTGGTGATTGGAGGCACTGTGTTCAAGCACAAGGATATCCACAAAGCGACATGGATTTTACCAGATGGACACACTAAAAATCAGATCGACTTCATCTCAATATGAAGAAAGTGGAGACGCAACCTACTGGACACAAGATCAAGAAGGGGAACAGATATAGGTTAAGACCACCACTGTCTAGTGCAATGAACCTTCCAAATCAAGTTGAAAGCCTTCAAAGAAGCTGGTGATAGACCACAGTTCAAGTTCAACACCCAGAACACAAACTGAACTGAAGGACGAAACTACAAGGAACATCTTCACGTCAGCCATCAGAACAAAATGAGAGACATTGACCAACAACCCTGAAGGAACCTGTGTGGATGAACACTGGAACTCTTTGAAAGAGATGTGAAAGAAACATGCATAACCGTATTAGGAAGGAAGACAAGGAATGGATCTCGACGGATACATGAAAGCTGATAGACGAGAGGAAGATGGTGAAGTGGAAGATGAAGCCCTGCAGTGCAGTGCGGTGCAGTGCAGGGATGAACAACGAACAACGAACACAACCTATAAAACACTACACTGGACAAAGAAGTGAAGAAGAGTGCGTGGAGAGACAAAAGACACTTCTACGACACATTGACAAGTGAAGCAGAATAGGCTGCAGGTAGGAGAGATAGAGACCTGACAACACTATATCAAGTAACCAGGTTACTATCTGAGAAGGAAGAGATCAACACACATGAAACCAATAAAAGATGATGAGGAAATATAATTACGAAAGAAGAGAAACAAAGAAAACGATGGGCTGACCACTTCAGAAAGCTCTTCAATCGACCACCACCTGCAACTCGTCCTCAAATACCACCAGCAGCTCAGCCATAGAACTACCAGTGAACACAGGCCCCTCCCCCCCTCCCCAAAAAAGCAGAAGTCGTGAATGGCATAAAGTTGCTGAAATCCGGCAAGGCAGGAGGAGGAGGAGCAGATGGAATTCCGTCAGAAGCACTGAAAACAGACGCAGAGACAACAGTGGCGGACATGCTCACACCACTACTGCAGAAGGTTTGGAAGAAAGGTAGGAAGGGTACTTGCCGGTTGATTGGAAGAAGGGCTACCTTGTCAAACTCCCAAAGAAGGGAGACCTAAGTCTTTGCAAGAACTGGTGAGGAATCATGCTCCTGTCCACCCAGAGCAAGCAAAATATTAAGCTGCATAATCCTGGAGAGACTAAAGGATGAGCCAGATTCAAAATTACGACCGGAACAGGCTGGCTGACTGGCTTCAGGAAGAACAAATCATATGGGGATCAAATTGTAACGCTACACTACGCATCATCATAGAAGAGAGTATAGAATGGCAGTCAACTCTCTACCTCAACTTCATCGACTTTGAAAAGGCCTTTGACAGCGTCGACGGAGAAGTAATTTGGCAGTTGCTTCAACACTACGGAGTGCCACAAATCTTTATCAACATCATTCAGCAGCTATATGAAGACGCCACATGCCAAGTGATTCACAATGGAAGCTCAGTGACGCTTTTGAAGTGAAGACAAGCAGGAGTAGGACAAGGCTGCCTACTATCACCCATGATATTCCTGATTGTAGTGGACTGGATCATGCAACAAACAGTGGGGAGCTGTGAGAAGAGGGGGATACGCTGGACCGGGGAAAAGATCCTAGAAGATTTGGATTTCGCCGCCGATGACTTGTGTCTAATGTCACAAAAAGTTGAAGATGTACAGGCAAAAACTAACAAGTTGACAGAATAGGTGAGGCAGCGAAGACGGGACATCTTTCAAGTGAACGTAGAGAAGACAGGTGATGAAGATACCCAACCAACACCACCACCAACAACAACAACAACAAGCTCCAATCACCATTAACGGGAGAAACCTGAAGGAAGCAGTCTCTTTCATCTATCTAGGCAGCACTGTTTCAACTACAGGCTGCGGCACAGACAAGGATATCAAAGCCAGTCAGGATGGGAAAAGCAAGACAGGTGTTCATTAGCCTGAAACCAGTGTGGAGATCTGCACTGCACTCAGCATAAAGCGTGAACAAGATCCGGATTTTCAACACCAATGTCAAATCAGTGCTTCTATATGGTTCAGAGACTTGGTGCGTCACGAAAAGCACTTCCAACAAACTACAGACATTCATCAACAACTGCCTACACTGTCTCGTTACTGAATCTGAGATGGCCAGAAAGAATAAACAACAAGGAACTCTGGTCTGGCAAAGAACCAACCAAGAATCTATCACTCAACAACCATGCAGAAGGAAGTGGAGATGGATTGGGCATACACTGAGAAGGCCGACTAGGGACATCACGTGCGAGGCCAGGCCCTCGAATGGAACCCAGATGGGAAGCGACGAGTTGGGCGTACGAGGCGAGGGTGACATGGAGGAGATCGTGTGAAGGAGAAATGAGAGCTTGTGGGCTGTCGAGGAGCCAGGTTCAAAAAATCTCAGAGAAGAGAGTGCACTGGAGACGTGCTACTGAAGCCCTATGTTCCATTAGGAACCCAGGTGACAAATAAATAATAATAATAATAGTTCAAGCGTTTTTAAACCAAATAAGCGTTTCATAAATGTACTGTCACTAACGTCTAGATCTATTGCATAGTCAAGTGCCAATAACAGAAGTCCATCTTTTGACAAAACATGATATCTAAATCACTGAGTATCACAACATCCGTTTAGCAAAAGAATTTTTTCGAAGCGTCTAACCTAACCAATGCGGTCAGTTTTACTCATTAAGAATTATAACAAATGGAATAAATTGGAAAATAAAAATTAGTATGATCTACCAGAAAAGACTTACTATGCTTTGCATGGGTGAGTTGTATAACTTTGGCCATAGTTGTGTCTTCGTCATTTTCTGGGAGCAGTTTTACCTCAGAGCCAGACAGAGATAAACGATTCAACAAAGCTTTATCCTTGACCATTTCTTCTTGAGATAACTTTTTGGCCTCCTGAAGGAAGAAACGTCCGTCAATTGAAAGTAATTTAGGCAAATCTAGTGTACCATAATGATATAATTTTGATATTAGTATTTTTCTTTCAATGGTAAAAATAAGACATATATGGAGCAAAATAAAAGAGAAATGGGAAACACTTGGCCAGAAACAGATTAGTGAAGCAACAAGTGACAGAAAATGGTCATAAAAACGTGCCAACTAGAACAGGCACTTCTAAATTAATGGATACGCAAAGACAGATACCTAAAATGCATGTCTTTACAGTTACATAAATGAAATCATCCGAAGCTTATTCGTGCTTTATAATGAGTATATACACCAACTACCTACAGAACCAGAATAGAAATCCCAATTTTTATATACTAAGGTAAAAATTGTAGGGATAAGGGATTCAATGGACCTATCAGGAAAATATATGAGAAGTGATCGCAATCACAGATTGACAGTATGATTTGTCTTTTTTACATCAGCACAACACGTTTCGTAATGTTATAGTAGGTTTATGCAGTTGGGTATGGCTAGTTTTTGGAATCGAATCACTCTCCGTCTACTTCGACCTGGAAACCGAATAGTATCATAAGCCCTCACATAAGTGCCCTATAGTCTAGGGTATAAACATGTACTGGATTGAGTTACGCTAAATAGTTGAGTGGGTCATTCCATGCAGTGTTATGTTATTATTATTATGGTGGCATATGAGAGAAAGATTTGACCTGTGAGAACCTTATTTGAGTGAAATCAAGAATTTGACTATTGCTGTGAATTTACTAATCATACAATCCTGGTGATGATTTCATAGATGCTACTCATGTCTTTTAGGTGGTCAAATTGTAAGTGCCTTGTCTGCAGTGTTTGCTTTTTTCCCTGTCTTCACTTATCAGTAGCAACACGTACATAAATCGTTCTCGCCCATTGATAGGGGTACGCACATTTTCTAAAGCCAGTGAGCTTTTATGAGTTTGCTATGGAACTTTAGTGTCAACAGTTATCATGGTATTCAAGCTTCTCACTGAAACCGAGTAAAAAGAGAGCGACTAATCCATAATCTGTCATTCACTAACATTTAAAGTAAATAGAAAGTTATCTTCAAGATAATGCAGGTAACAGACTCACTTATGTTACGGTCCGAAACCGTCAGAAACTTATGGAGAAATTAATTATTTCGGTAAGTAGCTAGTGAGAATGTAAATACAGTCATAGGAAGGATAGGCAGGGGGTAACATAAGGAATATCCACAATTATGTAGATTAACACATTAGGACGAACGTAATTATACATACACGAAATTTTTTACGAGCAATCTGATTTAAGGCAAAGTCATCTTCATATGCTAAACGATTAATCTGGAGTTCTCCCACTACCGGCATAACATCATTTGCCTTTTTCTTGTCTGTGAAGTCATGTTCCAAGTGATACATTGCGTCTGTAGCAAGCTGCTTTTTCTCAGAGTGATCTACATATTTGAAGAAATAAAGTACAACAAAACGATTCAAAGTAATTTTACATACACAAAAATGTACTACTCAAGCAGGAAAATGTTTAAACATTCCATTTTAGTGTTGTTTCTTGTACCATCCCGTCGCTGAGTGTACCGAATCCATAGGTCTCTTTTGGTATATGGGCTTCTGCGCGGATGCCTCGATATTGCCTGTATTTTATTTATATATAAATAATGCATAGCGGCTATCAGTGGGATCCCGGACGCGCGTCTCTCCCTATTTGGGACTCGTCAGCTGGCTGTACCTGCCTCCTAGTGATCGATGTTGCTTCTACCAGGACTGGAACTCGGGATCGATTGCTTCAAACGCGAGAGTGTTATCCATTAGACCACCAAGTCACGACAGCCATATCTTGTGTAACGGGTGTAGTTTCGATGTTGTTGCTTGTATTGCCCTATCACTCACTGGGAGGGAGGTGCATCTAGGTGACGAGTCCCAAATAGGACGAGACGCGCGTCCTGGATTCCACTGCTAGCCACTATCCATCATTAATACATCCCATTTTAGTTTACATTTATGTCTTGGTCTGCAATAAATGGCAACTGCCGGTTGCGCGAACAATAGCTGCTAGACAACCATAACTAATGAAACTTATTGCTGATAACTGGCATTCTAACTACATGCACACACTAGAATATTGTGAAATTTAAGATGTAGCCCAGAATTTTCAACATAACAAATATTTTGGTCAGGCTACAAAGAACTGGAGCAGGAACTGTCAATCCTACTTGATTAAGATACTCCATTAACACTGGCAGATCAACAAGGGCATAGCTCTTCTTCTTGGCAACTTTAACAGGCGAAAATGCTACTGGAAAGTTGTGGAGATGTAATTCCTTGGTTTAAGAACTCGACTTTCAAGTGATGGATTCGAACTCAGATCCACCTACTTCGGTCTGGTCAATCAGGTAGTATCATAAGCTCTGTCACATCAGTGTGGCTCATAACTTAGTACACATACATGTATATTGGGTTGAGTTATATTACGTAATAAACCAAACAAACAAATGAAACGAAATCTTCTTAGCAGCCTTGTGCACATTCTTACAGTAGGCAATGAGGGTTAATGATACTATCTGGTCACCAAAACCTTGGTAAGTGGGACTGAATTTGAGTCCGTGACCAATGAACAGCAGCTCCACCCATAATTAACCGCAATTAGTACAAAATGGCATCTAGACGCGAACCGATTGCTAGTGTTGACCCACCTAGTTTAAAATATGGTCACTAAGCTAAGTGAAACAAAACTACAGTGACCAGTATTTTGGTGGTAAACGTCTATTCGCAAAAAGCCCTAGATACAGATCCCGTCATTTCTGACACTCATCAGCAAGATACATCGATAACCTTGATGAAATTTACGTTTCCTTCAAACAGTTAGAATCTCAAACACTGAATGCTCAAGTCAGAGGCTCTATCACTAAGACATTCAATAGGTTCAAATCACCGAGAAGACAAACCTCCTCAAAGTTGTTGGTACATCAAGGATGATGGACTGCAACAGGCAGTAAGCCAGTAACAAGAGAGATTGTAGAAAGAAATACTGAACAATTTGAGCATACCTACCAAGAAAGGAACCTACAATCGACTTCTATGGGATGGATAGAGTAGACAATATGAATCGAAGGTAGTTCAAACAAGTCCATCAATGAAAGTAAACTAAAGTATAAGCTAGTACACTAATGAAGAGCGGAAAAATTGATTACAGTAAAATTGGTATACCTACAGATCAACTCATAAAAAAACTGTTCGTTGTGATATGGTTACTTCATCATAGTAATGATTACGTAACGATGGGAGATATGCGAGAAGTATGAAAATGACTGTTTTACCTGCGATAAGAACTTGTTCGTTTTCTTCAGCATCCCACTTTTGTACTTTTCGTCTGGCACCCTCCAAAATGATATACTGAAAGTTTTTTGGATCTGTTTGGAATAAAATTGTACCGGCACAAAGATGGCAGGGCATGGAGAATTGGTATATAGGGGTAGAATGATACATGCCGACTTTTTTCTTCTCTGCATTATATCTGACGCCCATACCGATGGGATTCTTACAAGTGAGACACCAGCAATTGAACGGCATTTCAAATCTAATGGTGATGATGCCTTGGTCCGCCTTCTTCCCACGTTGGCGGAGAGCATGCGTGCCATGATAAGCATTCAGATTTTGTGACGATTAGGATCGAAATCAGGGGGATAGTATTTGTTTGTACCTTTTCTTTCCCCCTTCATAAATAACAGACATAAAAGAGGGGAAGTAATGAATACGTTGCAAAATTAAACCTGGCATTCATACAGTGAGAAATATTCAGAAAAAATGACGGTTGTCAAATTTCAAAGAGAACCCAGATACAACATCTGGCAATTCTTTCCAACGTTCTGTGGTCCTGATTCCATGTCAGTAGTGATCTTGAATTAGTCTAACCCTTTTCCGGATCTGCAGTGACTTCTAACAACTTTCGAAAGGGCATTAAGAACCAGAGAATATCCAAAGCTTTTGGTGAGAACAAACATGCACAGAAATAAATTTCACATAATTTCGAATGTGAAAAGAGGAAGCATTCAAAACCTAGAACAAGAAAAGATGAACACCATGGATGTGAGTAAACGTAAGTAGTGAACCCAAAATAAATGAGGTTCAAAATCGTGAGTAGCTCTAATTTATCAACTAAACGATTGGAAAGAAAATATAGTTTGGGAAAGTGCATCAGTAATTCACTTTCAAAGTCTAAAATAAGGATAAGCATAACACTGGAAATTATTTGCCCTACTATCTATTTTTTAAGTACTTTGAGCTTTCAACTCTTGATGACGTTGAAAACGAGAGATGAGCGATGCACCCCGATGGGATAACATCACACGTTTTAACGAAGGAGATCCACAATTATCAGGTATATTAAGTCATATAATAGAAAGAGTGTAAGACAAAGATTAAAACAAATATGTTCTTTCAACAACTGTTATTCTGAAAAAATTCATTAGTGACACTTTTATATTCAGTGCGAGTTGAAGATCATGACTGGAATGTTACTGAAAGTTCGATTTGAAAGAGGATTCCGTTAGAAAACCCAGACTGAACCAGCACTACTGCAATTTTCACAGTGAAGTACAGTTTTCGACTAATGACCGGTTTTTTGTAATAAGTTCGAGTATGTAAACATAAAAAAGGATTCAATCATCTGAAGTCTGAATTAACCTCCAGAAATGTGAACCTAAGAGAAACAAGTAAGTTTCCGTCCTTTCCATAGATATTTTACTCAGATATGTTGAGGTAGTATTCACCACGGACTGACATCAATTGGAGAACCATTGAAAAACTGGGAGCACTGGACAGCTGTTTCATCCTGATATGGGACACCTCAGTAATACGCACCCACAACCCGGCTAGGGATCGAAGCCAGGATCTTTAGGTTTTACAGTGGACGCACTAACCATCTGGCCACTGGGTCGGAGTTCAATGGTTCACAGTTTCCGACTCCCGTCAATTCATGATATAGCGCGACTATCACCGAAAGCCTTCAGATGTCTTCCGCTTCCCTTATGATTGGTTACGGTTCTCGTTAGAAATTCGTGATATTTATCGGGAAGTATGAAAGGGGATCTTAATTTTGAGGTAGTATTCATCACGGACTGACATTAGTTGTCAGTAAATACAAAATGCAGCGTGGTAACCATTATTAAGGGTTTATCTGGTGACTTCCCAACCTTCTTACAATCCTCTGTTGACACACATTATGTACTCAATGGGCAGCTAGAAATGCACCACAAACTAATCATAACAAAACTAGAAAGAGCACAAGGCACACAGGTAAAAAGCAAATATGTTCGGAGAACAAACGCTATAAACACGTTTAAAAAGCCCCCACTGATTTCGCACTACTTTAGGGAATATAGGACAAGAAAACTAAGGCACAGTCCGCATATCTTGATTCCAAGCATTATCGACTCCAGATAGAGTTATATGATCTCCTAAAAAGTTTCGGTTTGGAGTCATCATCATCATTATCAACATAGGACCAGGCATTACTGCGTAACGGTCCGAGTTGCCACACCTCATATCAGCACATCAAGTAAAAAGGTAGTGAGGTGAAGGATGAAGATAAGTGAATGCAGTCAAAAGAAATATAAAGTACGAAAAGAAAGGAAAGAGGAGTGACAAAATAGTGAGATTCGGTATAGCGTTGTTAAGATGAGGATAATGTGTGTATACATCTGCGCCACTGACTTCGGTTCTGAGCCATATCACCTAGGGTCTCCAACCACTGGTTCCTCTTGTCCCGTGGACCCCAACCACCTAGTCTGCATCGTCCTACATGGCTTAAACCAACAGTCAGAGACTTCATACATTGGTGCCATGTTTTAGTCTGGCCACCTCGGGCCTTTTTCCAGCCTGAACCCACCTCAGCCAACATTGTGTGACGAGGCAATCGGTGACTAGGCATACGTAGTACGTGTCCCAACCATCTCAGTCGATGAAGGTTCACAACCTCGTCGACTGACTTACCTCTTCTCCCTAAAACTCTACACCTAACTTCTGCATTACTCACATGGTGACACCACGGAATACGTCCTATACTACGAAGGCAACGGTGGTCAAATACCTGTAACCTTCTCATGTCTTCCACTTTCAATGGCCATGTTTCACAGCCATACAGTAGAACAGAGCGGACTGCTGTGCAGTACACGCGACCCTTAATAGACAAACGAATATCACGGCGGCGCCATAGGTGGCGCAAATTGGCAAAAGCCAATCGAGCCTTTTGTATCCGTGCAGAAATCTCATCGGCAACTAACCCACCGGAGTTGATCCTACTTCCCAGGTAAGTGAAGTGGTCAACACACTCAACCACTTCACTCTCTATTGTTAACCGCGGTACCGCTGAAGACCAGTCCTGGAGCAAAAATTTGCATTTGGGTGGTGAAAATCGCATCCCAAACATTCTCAAATTCCCACTCAAAGTGTTCAGAAGACTCTGCATCTTGTCAGCGTCTTCACCTAACAGGACTATGTCATCTGCATATTCTAGATCTAAAGAAAATTCACCTGTGATTGGGTCAACGTCTTTGTAATTAGGTGACGAGAGGGAAACCTCCATAAGAATATCTATGATAAAATTAAATAAGAATGGGGATAGTGGGCATCCTTGACGGACACCACTTGATGAGTATAGCTCCCTGGACAACTCGCCATAGGCTCTAACATGCCCACAAGTGTTTGAGTAGAGATCTTTCAATAACGTGATGTAAATACTCTGCACGCCTTTCAGAGAGAGACATTGCCATAAGACTTCTGTTTGGAGGCCAACCGTCAAGGGGGTAGAACAGAAGTGCTCACATCGACACGTTTATCCCGTCTCTCACAGTTAGACTAACGTCATGATGGTACAGTTGACTCAAGTTGGCACATGCTGTTCTGACTTTTATGAACAGCTGGAGATCCCACAACTGGCGATCAAGCAGCCGTCTAGATACACGAACCTCTCAAATACTTCTAGCGGCCTACTAATAAAGGTGTGAAAGCAAGACTACTGCCAATCTTGCCAAAGTACTCTGCACTTTATTGGTATGGTACGAAGTGCATAGCATAAATTTTAAAAACGGAGTGAAATGCACTCAGTAACCATGTGTACGTCCGTGCAGCAGGCAATGAGTCACACCTGTGTAGCGTTTAAACGGTATTACCTGGCTACTCCCTTCCCAAACCCACACGTACTGCGACAATTTAGTTAGGATATAATTACACCCGATAAATGAAGCAGTATCCGCAGTAATAAATATCCCATATACAGGGATCATGTTTGAATAGTTTCTCGATTGTAAGCTGTCATGTTAATTAACCTAATTCCAAGTTTCACCAAACCACTATCGAAGTTGAAGCTGTATCCAACATTGACAGCATACAAAGAATCTCCAGTTTAAAGACCACAGCCCAAGATGTAAGCATAAGTAGATACGAATGATAAGCGACATGCCCACGAAAAACGTGAGATTGTTCTTAGGAATGCACTTCAAGTTAACGGTAACAATATACGTTATGACTGGCTGCTCAAAGAAAGAGTAAGGAGAAAGGGAACTGTGGCTGAAATGAATACTCGGCAAGAAAAAGCACAAGATATTGGGTTTTCGGGTGGTGCGGTGTCGCGAGCTAGTGTTGTCAAGGCAGTTGTTCTTAAATTAGATGAACACTAAGTCAGCATAAAGGTGTTACACTGACTCCCGTAGTCTTATGCATAAGCTATTTGAATCGGTAGTTTTAGTCGGCCTAAAACCGGACGTGGTGGTAATAACGGAAAAGTGGTTATTAGAGGGCGTGAACCTTACACTACCTATGCCAAGACTAACCTGTATAACGACTGGGAGAGTTGTTAGTTGTAAGGATGGTGGCATAGGGTTAACTTCAGCAAGGTATAAGAGCACCTACGATGGCGTCAGAAGTGCACGTGTGTAGTAGCATGTTGTGATACTAGGTCAGGTAAAGAACTGTCACTATCGAAGTCATAACTTTCATTTAAACAACTTAGTAGTAGGCTACTTGAATACGTGAGGTACTAGTAGAAGGTGCTTAATAATCGAAATCGAAATACTCAGCATTCACCTACACGTTCTTGCAGGAGTAGATGATCCACACCTGTTGTGTGAGGGCCAATGATACTAACTGGCTGCCCATACCTCGGTAGGTGGAGTGGGGTTCAAACCCGCAACCCATTAGTCTAAAGTCAACTGATTAAATCAATGAGCCACAGTGGTAGAATTGAATATTCACTTGAAGGAACTCACAGCTACGCTTTCATATGGCTGTTTCGATATCGAGCTGCCACTAACAACCCTTAAGTGTGCTATGGAACACAATGTAGCTGTATCTACATGCCTCAACCCAGAGCATGAGCCTTCACTGTTGGATTCAGTTTCCACTCACCAGTACGAGGATCTGAGTGACCTCCAATACCTTCCACCTCTGCAAATAGTGACTACGTAATTACTGCCTTAAGATTTATGAGTCAAACCCCTACAAACCAAATATTTGGCTAGCAAACTTGAGCGGGGCTGATGACACTACCTAGTTATCTAAACCTGCGTAGATGGAGCTGGGTTTGAATCTGTGACAGACTGTTTGAAAATCAACTGCCTAAACTAATGAAAGACAGCTTCACATCTGTCAATAAATACAAACTGAACTGTTGGAAACGCCTGAGAGGAGTTCAAGACGACGTTAAGTCAACACCATGGAGGTCTACTCACAAACTACCTTGTATAGATAATCGAATCAAAAGGTTGTTATGGCGTAGGAAACCCCAATAGGATCTATTTGTAAAAGTGGGTTATGTTTAAGGTAGAGTTTAACAAAGTCTGGAACTCCTGTAGGACTCATCAGCAAACGTCTTACTGAATAAAAAAAGCAATTAGTGTATGGTTGGATTGTTTGTTTCGAAAGACTACCCTGAAACAATGGGCAGAACCAGGGCTTATGATGGAATGCCTACTATACTTTCTGATGGGAGCCTATACGTCTTAGCAGAATCAGACGTAAGAAGCTGAAAAGATGCCAAAATACTTCACTGGTCTTTTTGGTAAATATTAAGAGAGATATTAAATACCAGCACGAATGAAGCCCCAGACATTGCTCGTATTTCGGCAGAGTGGTACCTAGATTACTGAAGAGCCTGAATTCTCATGGCCTACGCCCTAGGTTGTTACTAATTGACTGACATTATGCATAAACCGCTTACAGAAATATTCAATGTCTCTGCACCAGGTTTAGTGATGTGGAAAGTGGAAAGATGCTGCGGTGTCTCATTTCAAAGATCACAGCAAACAACTAGTTACTATCGCCCCGTCAGGTGGATATGAACAACCGTGTTCTGAAAAGGGACAAACTACTGAGTAGGGCGAAAACGTAGGGATCATTAGCGCTGGAGCGACACGACTTCCGACCCGAACGCAACTGCCTGACAAACTTGCTATTGGCCAGAGAGAAAAGGATGGAAGTAAAAAATAGTGAAATGCAGGTTGACACAGCGACTACTGATTTCGGCAAGGTACTTCTTACGGCGTACCAAATAGGCTTGCTGAGAAAACTAGCAGGTTTCAGCATAGACATCAACAGGCAGGAGCAGTTCGGGACCAACCTGCATGATATGAGACAAAAGATCAGTGAATGGGGTATCATTTGAGTGGGAACCGGACACTAGTGGAGATCTCCCAGGCACTACTAAAATCTCTTATGCTTCCACTACACATTAATTGTTAGGTATGCCTAATTCACCATCCCTTTTATTTGCAGATGACAGGGTTTGAAAGGTTGTTCATAATGATCATAGTAGGTTAGCACTCCAGGCCGACTTAAATTAATTGACCAATCAGCCTAAACGCTGGAGTCTGGAAATCAACTCCAGCAAAAGTACACTAATGCACACTGGTCAAGAGTCTTACTACCCTTATTTACTAGGCAGGTTAATACTGCTTTGTGTTATGGAACAAAAAGACGCAGGGGTTATTATTAGTGATAACCTGAAAACAACAGCACTGTAAAGCAGCTGCAGCCAAAACAATCCGTATGTTACGGTTACCCCGAAGGACTTCTTCCTAAGTGCTTTGATGAAGAAATATGTGGGATACTGTAGCCTATACAGGCGGAACCTCATCTCAAGTATAGCAGCTAGTTCTAACTTCAAGAAAGAAGCAGACACTCTAAAACAGGTATAAATAGTGAGCGAAAAATCATTTGACATCTCATCTTTAAAAAGAGGCTGGCAAGTTTGGATCTTTCAGGATTGTAATATAATAGAAAAAAAGGTGATCTTGTTTAAGCACATTATATTTTGCATAAGGACCAGTGTTGTGACCTCAAATCTTTTTACTCCTACGACCGATTGTATAAGAACTCATCAAAAAAGGATCAAAAGTCGAGGTCAAGAAAACTATGAGTGAAACTCCAGTTCCCCTGAGGGCAGTGAGACTGAAATTTGCTACTAGAGCTTGTAATAGCCACTCCTTCGACGAACGCCTTCAAAGATAAACTGGATCTTCATAGAGATCTATACTGTAAGGTTTAAAACACGCTAATCGACTTACTATGCCTCAACATGAAAACTGCATACAGTTTGTGCAGTACGGAGAATCCCATGGCAAATGCAAAGTCAGAAGCTTGTTCTGTCTGTCCCACACAGAGCGACATTTACACGTGCATTTGTGGACAACTTGCGAGACATCACGCTTCGAAGCAGGGATGTTACTACTGACCTGATAAGAGCGTGAACTCGAACCTTCAGTGTAACTTGACATTATCTCAAACACCAGGCAAAATTAAAGTAGAATATCACACAAAAGTGCATTCGTTCAAGATGCCACACCCCAGAGCATAATACGAAGAATAAGTGCATAGGAAAGACATATTACAGTGGAAAAATGTGTAAGAGAGAGAGGAAATTTGGAAGTTGGGGTTAGTCAAAACACTTAAGCTTCAGAAGACACCAAAGGCTAAATACATCCGCGCCATTGTGAGATTTCCAGCCATATCCCTAACAGTCCTCGACCACTGATTCCTACCGTCTAGGGGACCACGGCTAGTTAGTCTCTATCTTCCCACGCGAACCTGAAAAACAAACAAAGACTTCATCGACTGGTTTCACGTCTTGATCTGGCCACTCTGAACCCCCTTCTAACCCAATCCAACTCACCTTAGCATGTCAAGTGGAGGTAGGCAGTGGCTCGGCATGCGCAACACATGTTTAAGCCACCGCAGTCGATGGAACTCAATAACCTCACTGACAGACTAGCGTTCCTTATCCAGAACACTTCACCTGACCTCAGCATTGTTCACATGACTCCATTATACGTAGCAATGCTGTCAAAATGTGTGGTCACAAACTTGATATCTTCTGTTAACAGCGATCACTCACAGCCGTACAACTCTAACTGCACAGAATGAACTGTAGCGCAACATACTTGTCACTTACAATGTAGTAGAATATCTTGCTGACGTCACAGGTGACTCAAGTTGGCAGGCAAGTGCGAAATGAGCCTTTTGTATCCGAGCTGAGATTCTGTCTGCAACCAGCTCGTTCAGGGTGATGCAACTCTCGAAGTAAGTGAAGTGGTCGACGCATTCCACTACTTCACTTCTTATCATTGAGCTGGAAGCCGTTGCACACCAATCCTGGAGCATCATCTTATATTTGACAGTTACCAGTGAAACGCATGCCAAACATATACAGATTTCTGCTGGAGGCGTTCGAAAGACCTTGTATTTCGTCAGCGTTTTCCCCTAGTAGGACAATATCGTCTGCATATTTCAAGTCAACTAGGTGACCTCCAGGGAGTAGATCAATCCCTGTGAAGTCAGACGTACCTAAAATTATGTCCATTAATACGTTTATGATGAATTTAAATAGGAACGGTGACAGTGAGCAGCCCTGCTAGACACCACTAGTTATTGTCAATTCATATGACAGCTCCCGATAAGTCCTGACATGGCTGTGTGAGTTTGAGTAGAGAGCTTTGATAAGCACCATATGCTTGCTCAGTACTCCATTTACAGTCAGACACTGTCACAACACCTGGCAGTCGACAAAGTCAAATCCAGCCTTCAAGTCAACAAACTTAGTCACTGGCCAGTAAGTATGCCTGTGTTCCAAGATCTGTTTTGGGGTGAAAATCTTGAACATAACAACAACTTGATTAAGCACCGAAGAAAACAAACTGGATCCCACCGTTATAGTCTAATAGCTGGAACGAAAGAAGGGTGTGTACAATGATGTTTACATCTTCCCATAATAACAACTTGGTAAACGCTTCTTAAATGTTAAAGAATTCTTTAATGAGCACAGTGTGCACTTCCTTTTATGTACACCTAGTGGAAATCACCAAACAATTCAATATTCTGCAAATTAAACCCAAAGATGATATTTGATTCGGAATCAGAGTCAAAATTAGAATTACAATAGAAGTTCAAAATTCATGTGAAATGCGCAAGGACAAACCATTCTTCTTAAACACGCGCCACAAGCGGCACTAAATGGCTTGTGTATAAAAAGAGAAAGTAACTGTTTATTGGCTTCCGAAACTATATACAGTGGACCGCTAATTACTCCTTCACAGAACTTAGGTGTAAAGATAATGAATAAATGCTAAGAAATCCAATATACAATATCTTTTAACGAGCTAGTGTAAACCAATTGATTCCTTCGCGCTCGCTTCTAGGTCTTGTGGAACGGTTCCAGGTCTTTGGTGGATTCCAATGCAGTAGGTCTACCCACTTGACTGCTGTAGTCCTTGTTAGCCCAACGGGTGGTTGGGTGTCTGTTAGATTTGTAGGGAGTGTTGTTTGTTTGTTTGCTTTTTCTTCCGAGGACTGTGGTGCAGATGGGTTCTTCAAATGTCGTGCCGGCAGACAATTGGTCGGACTGGCTGTAAAAAGGAGATGAAAAATATGTGCAGATAAATCAAGGGAGAGAGAGTGCAGAGGGAGATAAAATAGAAAGGGAGAAAGAATAATATATAAAAAAGATTTAGGAAAAAGGAAACGGCACGGAAGAACAAACATTGGTAGGTTGATGGGGAATAGGTGATAGGCAGAGCTTTTGTTAAAGTTTGAGTGGGTGAAGTCAGAATTAAGAAGAATGAATAACATTACAGGACGAATGGGGACATGGTAATTCTTTTAGTAGAGGACGGTAACTGGAGGGGACGTCTACAGGAAGGTATAAGTTTGGGCCAAGTTCTCAGTGATTTTCGCTGCATGCTGTGAATCTTAGTCCTAGGGCTTGTGGCGTCAAACAATTTTTCGGAATCAGTAGCCTAGAGTTCAACCAGATTCAACATTGGTGTTGACCTTCACAGTTTAACTGGACCCACCAAGCTAGAGGAACCTGGCCAAGCATCCCGGCCGTTTGACACGTTATCGTGTTACGTTGCACTGCTCGTAATCGACTCTGTTACCAGTTAGTCGGAAAGCATCGGTGTCTTGGTACGACCCCGCAAGTGTACTGATCCATCTGACTACGCTATTGTGTCCTTTCTTGATCTCGTATTCGTGGGTATACAATAAGTTGGAATGATTAGTGATTGGCTTCTGCATCACTCGATTTCGCACCAGGATAATCCTTTAGGGCTGGCTGAGTGCCTCTGGACACGTTCCAAATTTTTCTCTTCCCTTTCAAACTTAGATTTCCATTTTGGGGATATGAGGCTTTGACCTCGTGCTAATCTTTTTCTGTTGGACTTCTCTGCCTGTACCCTCCCTCTCTGGATGACCTACCACTTCTTATGGTTAGCTGGTTACCAGAAATGAGTACTCGGCGCGGAAACATGTGCTCCAAGGAGACGATGTTCGTCATTTGCCCACGAAGTGTCCTACCCAGTCATCTGAATTGCCTTAACCTGGTAGGAAGAAAGAGAGTGGGTAGGTCAGTTCCGAAGTCATTTCCTAATATCCCGTATTTCGTGGCTAGATCTCCCGTCTGAGATAGGTTTACGAGAAGAGATTCGGCTCCTGAGGTCGCTCCCCGTAGGTCAGACCAAGCATTGTTGGAGTCGTATGAGCGGCTGTTTGATGAAATCTTCCCGTAGGGTTTGAATCACCTTTCGAAAAAGGATTTGTCACTCGGGTGCAGTTTTCTTGTTTATATCTAACCGAGGATGTGCATAAGGTGGTGAACACATCACAACTTTTCCAGCAGACTTTCTGCATAATTCCTACAGCATCTTAGAACTCCAAGCTGCTACCAATTGACGTTGCGCTGTGGCCCTCCAGTAGTAACAGTTTGTGACTTCTAGTTTATTGTGAACCAAAACTAAGCGCAGGGGGGTCCCGCAAATATTGCAAGTGTTACCGTCCGCATACGCCGTTTGCATGTTCAGACTCACTTCTGGGTTCGTGAACCAGGGCAGGAGCCGTCTAGGTCCGTTTGAGGTGAACCTAAATCCTCACCACCTTTAATTTCTCATCTGATGTTTACATCATCTGTGTAAAGAAAGATGAGCGATATTCCACACTTCACGTACCCAGAGGACAGACATCAGAAGGCCCAGGACTGCAACTTGCAATACTCCATTCTGTGGCGACTTCTAAGCGGAAAGCAACTTCGAATGACATGCCCTACCAGATACCTTACTGAAGTCTATGAAAATGACTTCTACGGCTACCACATCATTCTCAGACTTAGACCAATTTTTCTCCACCAGTGAGAGGGTTGTAAAACAGGTGGACCTACTGTGAAACCTGTTGTGAAGGAGATAATACAGCGCACCCTTCTAGGTAGACCGCAATAGCCCGCTTGATTCCCAGAACTTTTAGTACAGCACTGGTCAAACTTATTGAGCTGTAACTTGATGGGTACAGACTGGAAAATGCCCCGTGAAAGTGTGACTCTGACGTCCTTTTAGTCATAAGAGAGTGCGTCCTCAATGATTGACAGCCTGAGTATAGTGGTCAATGAACCTGCCACATAGTGTGCAAGCTCTCCCAGCAGCCCTGGATGCAGGCTATCCGGTCTTAATTTTTGACAGATTGGAATACGCGCTATTTGGGCTGCTAGTTGCACACTGTTTTCAGGCGAGCCGAACACTCATGCAGGCCTCCTGAGACAAGATACAAGTACAATTTTTACTACGGTGCGGACATTCCTCACTCCGATGATGTGAAATGGGAAAAGCTACAGTCTCTGACCCTAGATGAGCCGAAAAAGCTGTGGTCAAACCGCCCAAATATTCGCGGGTACGCTACAGGTGCTAGATTGCAACGGAGTGAATATCTGCCACGGTAACAAGAAAAGCCTGGTCACTGAAAGCTTATAACCAAAGATATCTTTCCGCCAAATATACCTTCACCTTTGTGTCGTCCAACGTGAATGTGCGAAAAAACATAGTGTTACAGGTGCAAGCCAATGCTTTTTCAGAACTGAAGGTCAGTCAGTTGTGACTTGCAAGCTGCCACTGAAAATAACGCAATTCATGCAGACCTTAAAGAGATGGTTGTTCAGATATTATTGCACCAACCACTTAAAGTTGAATCGATTCAAATGTACACAAACTCCCTTATGGTACAGCTGCGGAAGACTCAATTAAAGGTCCTTTAAAAACTGAGGTACGGTCTTTTTAATCTACCACTGGCGATCGAAAACCTAGTGCACCTAACTGTCACTACTAGCATGCTGGTGGTTTATCTATATCTCTTCCCAGAAACATTGTTGATAGGGTTCAGGATAGCCAGTGAATGGAAGTGACCGCTCGAACTCACGCAGATTGATGATCCCATCAGTTTAAAAGGCGCACATGAAACGGAAGCAGTCATGGGCTTCTTCTTTGACCACCTTCCAAGTTAGGTATTACGTCATTTAACCTCCAGAGTTAAGGTGCAACGCCCTGGCTAAAGGGATATTGTCGTTATTTACTGAAAAGTACAGCGAGAAATTAGGCGTCCCGCAGAATGACAAATAATACAACTTAAGTCCTCAAAAAATAAAATGGGCAAGAAGAGTAGATAATAAACTTAAGCTAGGCCGGTAGACAAAAAGCACAATTAAATACGGATAAAAAGAGGATAGTATTCAACCAGTGAAAGGATAGATAAGCCTCTCTGGGTGGTCACTGAGATTATTAACCCCCTGGATAGGTTGATGGTGGGCCATCCAAGCCTATACAGTTGACCAACCTTTGAATCGATACACCTTGAGTGGCTTCAAGCACGCTCCACTGTAAAAGGCCACAAAAACGTTTGACCTGAGTCACTTACTGGTGATTGCCACATTACTGCCAAGGTCCCTCGGTCAGCGCCAGCCACCGGATGGATTATGTCACAAACTTCAAAGGACTCTCTCATCTTTTGCCAAGAGTGAGCCAATTCAGAAAATGAGACTGCTTGCCCACTTATTCCTCCTAGTTCAGCTAGTTTCGTTGCAGTTCCCCACTTTTTCTCAGGGAAACTCAAGTCCCTCTTGAAGGTTTGAGGGGCCTCCACATTCGGGAAATCCAACAGCGACTGAACACTACCAGTAAGGCCACTAGAAAACAAAATCTGGTATGGGACCAACCAGCGGAAACATTAGAATAACATTTACACTTGCCGTGAATGTTAATTCAAAACAAGGGAGGTCGGATAAGCTGTGAGTCCCAAACCACACCCTGTAAACGATCACAATGAGATACAGGAGAAGCGTGCCTTCAAGTTGGCGTGTGGCCGTGGGCGCCCGTGGTGACCAAACGCAACATCCGTCACAGTCAGAAGATCGAATTCAGAACAAGCCACGAAAACCGGAACTCTGGTTTGTCATAGATGCTCAGAATTACTCGATGCCCGGCTAGCTTTCTAACCACTTTCCCCATTTCCATATCGTCAACCGAAATCAGATTGGATGAGGATTTTCGTGGGAGGTCGTAAGTGAAAAAAGCGGGGGTGACCCTGGAACAGATCTCTGAAATACGACGGGTGTTCACAACATCCATGAGGATCCCAATCCCCCAACTAAACGCGGACCCATCCCCCTCTAATACAGGCCCCGAATCGAGTAAACAGACATCTATTTCTGGCAGTTAATGGTATGCCTCTGTATGGTGTATCATAAAAAGGTGTGTCAAATGAACATGAAAATGAGGTGGGTCAACTTCTTGTTGTTTGAGTAGCAGGTGTAGTCGTCTCAGGCCGTTATCAAGCATCTCATCGTGAATTTTCCGTCTAGAAGTTGCGCTGGACAGGAAGAATGGCGTTCTTCCTGAATAGAATTATAGAGGACAACAGCAGTGGACACTGAGACGAAGGGCAGGAGATGGTTTGCGAGGGGAAACCGTATCGCAAGGCTTAGTATTTTCACTACTATCGGTCCTATTTTCCCAGCTAGTAACATCTATTTCTTCAATGAAGTTCATTCCACTGATGTTGGTGCCTACCACCTGGATTAATATGCACTACTGGTACTGGTACATTCCAAAGGCAGTCGTGCAGTTGTATGAGGCTAAATAATTCGAGCCATAAGTAGTTGGTGCCGAGTAACCTAATGAGAGATGAAGTGAAGTCTCGCAACTGGGCGACAAATTTCTCATTATTTGTAAGCTTTGCCTGCTA